TATATCAAGTGAAAAATATTAAACATGAGTCATCCGTCTTCGCTTTTAATTATCGCGTTCAAAAGAAATATAACAACAACAATTTTTAAAACAACTAATTTTATTCAGCATCAAATAAATACAAATTCATAGCTTACAAACAATACCAAACATACTGAATGTGGTAGTTAGATGAAATATAAATCTCTCACTGTGCTTAAGATAATCTTACTTCGTTATCCACGTGACATGCTCACGATAGGTTCGAACTAGAAACTACCCTCGATGGCACTGTTCTGATGGTCGTATGACATTGCTATGTTGACTTGCCATAATGTTATATGGCATTTATTTCACTTCAATAACTGTATTACATTAAACAATTTACAATGCTTATAGCATATATAGAGGATATTGAATGAGTGTAAGTTCAATACTGAATTTATTGCACGATTTGAATAAAATTATATTATGCGAGCCTCTGGCGAGCATAATATTATTTTATTCAACGAGTGCAATATATTCAGTAATGAACTTACACGAATTTAATATTCTATTTATCACATACCCAAAATAAAGACCGTTTAAAGTGAAATAAGAGTCATTTTCCGTTGACGCGCCTACAGTAGAACGCTAACATTTAGCGCGTCTTTACACTATGTTTGCATAACGCTAATGACGTCACGTCAAAATATATGCACGGCCGTGCAATACCATATATACGGAGTCGCAAAATCGGCACGGGTGTGTGATAAAGAAATATATGCATTGGCAAATGAAAATATATCCAAAATAAAGAGAAAGAAATATACAAAATTTTGCAAACACGATTTTTTACAAATTTAATTGGCAATGAATATCGGAAAAAGCTTTTTTTCCTTTTAGGTTATTTTTTTTTCATTATTAAAAACGCGATTTTATTTGCAAAGAATATAAATTTCGCTAGTTAGCAAATTGATTTTTTTTATATTTATTATAAGTTCGAACTTATTTATTATTGGCCATCGGCAGAAATGTGTTTTTTTAGGAGTTCGCGGTAATTAGGACAGACGTATTTCGTCGTTCACACAGCGTGTTGTCATAGGGACCTATTTCAATAAACAAGTTTGGGAAGAAATTTTAATTTTGAGAGAGCTATTTTATATTTAGGCTCTAAAGAACAATTCAAACATGGTTCGTTATAAGTATCCGTCTAATCATTTGGAATGGAATATCTACAAATTCTTGGTGATCAATCCGTGTGGTTCCAGTATACTTTTAACTTGGTCGTCCTTATTTTTTACCTCTACAGTCTACCCCGTTTTAACATTTGAATTAAAAAAATGTGCGTTTGTTAAATCATCAGCTGTCCGGAAGTTTTAAAAATTTCATCTAGTACTCGCTTATGTTGATTTTTCTGTAAACTAAGAGTGGCATGAGCCCTAGCTCGCATTTGCGAACGTTTAATGCGTAGTATCCAACCGGCCATGTTTAATAATACATATACATGTACTCCCACACAATGGTTGAACAATTCTTGAATGGGTGCTACCCAGTGTTGAATGATAATTAGCATTACCAACACATTTCTTTCGTAAGTTACTAACTACTTCATGCTATTGTGCTTTTTTCCGATACATGTATCATGCATTAATTGATATCCAACTGTTTATCGTGAAAATTCTGTAACTTAGAATAATGTACAGTGTTACCTTAGCGACAAATTTGACCTTGTAAAAATTTAGACATGTTCTGAAATAAAAATGATAACATTTTTGTTTACGTTTTATGAAATTATTCGGGTTGAATACACAGAAGCAAATAAACATAAACTGAATTATAAGTAAATGAATTTATATTTCGAAAAAGTTTTCTGTTTCTTTAACAAAATTTCTAATGTTGGCCCTGTAAAATCTATTTTAGCAGTGTTATGCTCTGTCCTATATAAAAGTTATAACTTATTATTTTTTGTTAGAAATTTGTGACCCTGGAAGGCCATACAGTCAAAACGACATAAAAGACAATTGAATATAGATAAGTGTACAGCAAATAAAATGGATTGGTTTAATTACAAGTAAAATCAAACACACGTTCATCTTCATTAATATTTAACTAAATATATTAGACAGTAAAATAATTTGCATCACCAACCCCGCTAGAAAAATATAATTAACTTATAACAATGTAAATATAAAAGGTACTTGAGCTTGATAAAGACAGATAATACTGTATAACACGTGGCATAATTTTGAGCTCTTTAATCTTGTTAAAACATTCAGAATCAATTGTCTACGATATTTGCATTCAAAGCAATGACGGTAAGATGTAGTTTGTCATGCAATGCCCACGAGGATAAAACTGCTTTTGTGTGCCAAGTCGAATTAGTCACGCACGCTGGTTCATATATTCTAGCATCATTCCATCTGATTTATATACAATTGTAAACTCTATTTATAAAGATATCGCTAATAGCGATATTCCGCTTATAATAATGATGTTGCCTCGGTCCTGACTTAGGTTTTTTTGTTGTTTTTTTAAATCATATGTTTAAACTTCGCTTATAACGATATCGGATATTGCGATATTTCGGACATAACGATGCACTATTGGTGCGTTGTTTTTGTCCAGTGCGCAATCTAGCAACATTTAATTGTATTGTTTTGTATTGTATTGTATTATAATGCAATATTTTGTACCTTGCAATGTGTTAATGGCCTTAAATGACCAATCAGGTGTTCGGCTTTACAGAAAATGACCGTGACTCAAATAATTACGATAAATTGCTGAAATTATCGGACAATAGACGAACTAAATCACTTGACTATAAGGGAACTTAATCATTTTAATGAAAAGTATTTTTTATTTTACTGTATGAACTATTAACGGGTTGAGTAATAACTTATTTCGTGATCATGTATCAGTTTATACGTTAAGCAAGCATAACTATGAATATCACAAAATATCATATGATGCGTGAAGTTGTTAAATGACAGAGGCAGAAATAGTGATATTGCTGCTAATTTCGGCATTCAACAAAATCCACTTAAAACGATTTATCTTAATCATGATGCTATTAATTTGCATGTTTCTCGCTTCCGGGATAAAGAATGCGAAACTTATTCTATACAATGTTGTAGTGATACACTTCCTGATATAACGATATCCGATTATAACGTTTATTATTTAAATTTTGCTGCCTCCTTAATATCGTTATAAGCGGATTTAGGGGATAGTTCTATATTTCGCGTATATACAGCTCGCCATATAACATAAACACTTTTGTAAGTTGAAATAGATCATTCAACGAATACATTGCAGTAAGTTACATGTATATATGTATAAATTTCTTGTAACAAAGGGTTTCAGATATAACCTTAAGTGTCTTTATTTTCTCTATAGAAACAATTCCCAGGACAAAATCTAAAAAAAATAATACAAATCTCCTTGTTTTAATATCACAGCGTTACAACATATGCTTATATTAGGTTCACATTATAAGTGTCATTATCTATCAGATAGTTCCGAACATTAGTGTCATTGGAAACTAATCTTGGCGGTAGATGTAGAGCGCATTTATGTTACTATCAAAAGAACTTGACATTATATCTGTTTACAAGTTTGTGGCAATATTCATTGTGTATAATTTATGATATGTTGATTAAATTGATACATTTGGTGTACCTTGGAAACGCTAACGAAATAATGAATTATATTTAAATTATTATTTCAATATATCTTATTTTATTAATCAATCTATCTGAAAGGTCTAAGAAAAGCATAGGACCTCTTTTGTACCATTCTGATATCATTCCGATAGCGGAAAAAAATGTTCATTTCAACAAACTGATATATTATATATAAATATACTAAAATAAATCCAAGAGCATGGTATGTCCATACTTGTCGCCTTGTTTAGATGATTAAGTAGTTTCTATGTTATACGTGATATAGAACATGTTTCAGTCTCTCGGTTGACTGGTCAGTTTCCAATATTGGAAGAAGACAAATCCTCGTGATCCATCCTTAACTAATTTCCTGCCAATACTGAATATGTATACGTATATACGACGTTATTATCCAGTCCTCAATTTCTGTAAATGGACATTGTTTAGTTACTTAGTTAACTACTTGCGTAGGAATTAGCTTTTGTTTACTAGAATGGGGGAAGTATTTAAAGTGCCTGTAAGTAAAGTAATAAAAATATCCGGTGAATCACTACAATAATAATATTTTATATGAAGCCAAGAAAGTATTTTACGTTTTTTAGATAGAAACTGATACATTCTCATTTGTAATATAAGTTTAGGTTGTAATATAAAAACTATTTTATTAATGATATCAATGATTAAATAAGTAGTTGGTTTTTGATATGAAGATTTCAGACACATTTGTACTTGTTTAAACAAATAATGCTTAAATGCAAAAAATATGATCGTTATTTTGACAAGATCTGCTATGTTTTGTGCTATACAGGCTGTCTTAGTTAAAGGTCCGTGAAGACTCAAGATGACAATACATTTTTTCAAAACTTTTTAATTTTGGTATACCTTGATGGTTTTTGAAATAGAACTCATAGATCGTAGGACTGAATTCTTATGTTCTTTGGCAATAAGTACAGTTATAGTGATTAAGTATTTTATACAGAAGTCAAAGTGCCACACTGTTAACATTATGCTACCTTTTTATACAAATAAGCTACTTTCTACCAATGATGCGCAACTTTATTAAAACATTATTAAATACATATTTTTCCCTTCTGTTGAAGAGAAAAAATCATCTCTGAGAAATAATTTACCTTTAAAAAGGAAAATATAGTATATAAATCATGGACGTCATAAATTTCAATTTCACAAAATTATCTAATGCTCTTTCAATTTGTTTATCGCCATACTGTATCTTAATTTGAAGTTTTCTCCAAGGAAACAGATTTGAAATATTCTAAAGTGGGTCTGAAAAACGATTAGGTAAAACTATAACCTCAACAACAACAGATAAATCAGTCTGTATGATCCGAGAATGCGCAAACATTATCGTCTAAATATTTGTGAATCACCTTTACTATCATTAACATAATTGTCTGCAAGGTGGTTTAGGAAAATAACTCGCTCAACAGACACGCGAACATTATTGTATTGGGACGAACATTGGTGTATCTATACGCCGTAAACTGATGTAACATATGCGTACACTGGCATATTGGATATTCATCGTGGATCAGTAAAGAACTTGCACATGGTTATCAGAGCTTTATTTGTCAAGTTGTACTAGTTATCATTTACGGGAGAGTTAGAAATGTTTACGTTTCCGGTACTCCACTTTGATGATACGAGATGGCTCAAATAGGCATCTTTTATCCAAACTGTAAATATTGGGGATCTTTAAAGTTTAAAGAGTGTTAAAATGGATTACATATAGATAGCATTATCTGAAGAAGCACTTATAAATTTAAGAAAATATCGCAATTATGAACAAATGGAAAATATATTTTTAATTATTGTAGAAAGTATAAAACAAAATCATGGTTTTTAAAATCAAATAATAAAAAGTTGTTTTGAAGAAATAAAATCCAGTAGTAGATATTTACAAGCCGTATAAAATCAAGGATTTTGATATAGAAATACTATATATTTACTAAAATATTTAAAATGCAACGCAGTGTTGTTTGGTTGTATTTTTTGTGCTTTAGTGTTGAAATAAATACTCTAAGAACGTTAAAATGTGCAAGCGATTGCATATGTAGTGTTGATCCGAGAACTAGAAATCTTCTTGTGGATTGTACAAATAAGGATCTTAAATCTTTACCAGAAGATTTGGATAAACAGACACGCACATTGTGAGTAAGATTTTTATCGTGTTGTTGTTGTTTTCACGTATCACTATGAACAAGTATAGATTGAAATAATACATACAATGTCCTATTGATTTTCTAAACAGAAAAACTATGTTTAAAAATTTATTTTTGTGGGGTTTTTTTTCGCTGAACTACAAATGTTTATAAAGTTTCGAAACCCGTTTATTGAGATGCATATATAAACACAGAGGATTGAGTTTGTCTTAACAAAACTACTCTAAAAACAAGTTTTTATCTGACATGTTATTTATCATTATCAGTTGCAGTAGATGCTTTGGTCCTGAAGCTTTGATAGGAATATCTGCCTATTTTGCTTTCTTTTAAATAATATAGTATTTTGTCTGCTTGTCTTACAAAATTCGCGTCTGTAATATTAATATGTTTATCAACAAAAAATGATTATTTGATATGTGTATTCTTGTGTCTCTATTCTTGTGGCATGTTTTGTTTCTTAATTGAAATAATTAAATTGATGAATAAATAAATACAAATAAGAAATATGTTGTTAGATATAGACTAACCTAATATTCAGTGATAATGTATGTAATTATTATATAATATGATACAAATGATTGGTCATATATCATTACTTCATCACAGAAATATCTAACCTGGTGTTATATGTGTCAAACCTTATACTTAACACAAAGTATATACATTTTAATGAGAAATTAATATCGTGATTATTTCACAACAAACACTTATTATTTTACAAAACGCAATAGTGACGAGATTGCATGAGCTATCCTTTGGACAGCAACATTCATTACTTTCAAAAGGCAAGGATAACCCATTTCTAGCCAAACTAATTGTACTGCGCGACGAGATATTGTGTTATTTTGTGTTTGAGCAAAATCTCGCCTCTACGTAGAACCGAGAGTAACACCCAGAAAATCTAGCTGTCACGTCAAAATATTTTTACTAACCCGATTCTTATGTTCAATCAAACATCAAAGTTCAAGTAATTATTTTAAATAGTCAGATTATAATGTAAAGGTTTTGCAAATATAATAACAAATTCCTCAGTATGAGACTTTCTACGCATGACACATACACATGCACACACATAGGAAAAACGCAAACAAGTTTGTCAAGCCCAAAACTTTATTTAAGTACATCTATTTTTTTTTTGTATTTTCTGATCGAAGATCAGAGAATACAAAGCTGACATTCAATCTTTGACACAGCAGTTTCACGACAAACCTAACAACAAGTATTTCTCAAAACAGCTTAAAACTAGCGATTTAAAAGAAAGAAATATTTTTATTTTGTTACAAGTATCCAACAAATTTCAACGCATTCAAAGTTTAAAAGTAGCGTTGGCTTATAGAATTGTCAATAAATGCACAATCACAAATTACGCAGATGAATATGATTTTAATCAATGAAAATGCTTTTTTTAGCGATGGCGATTACCGAATACTACACAAATAAATCTGACTGCCGAGTAGTGGAATATATAGATTCTACATGTCGGACTGTTTGGGCGAGAAGATTTTTGCTAAATTATTTACTTCAATTTTAAACAACAGGTTTATCCTGAACAAAATACCTCGAAATTAATAGGGATTACAAACCCAAAATGCAATGGAAGTTCTAAATTTAGAATGACTACATTTTATTCAGGCTTGTTTATATAACATCTCCGTGGTGCAGGGGTAACTCGTCTAGTGTGTGAGAGGTCTGGAGTTCAAATCCAAGTCGAGGCAACTTTTTTAAATTCATTTTTAAGTGTCTTTGTTAAGGACGTAGCCATGTTATGCAAGGATAAAGTGTGGCTGTCATAAAAAATGAACATAAATGGTTATTTGATTTAACTCTAGTTATGCAAAATTCCGTATGTATCAAACTCTGGTGCCTTGCAAGATGATTTATAGTACATAAACATAAACTAATACAGGTAAATACATACAGATATACAGTACTATTTAGATTGCAAAAATCAGAAATACCACAGAGCTTGCAGCCCTTTGATTTATCTATTTCCTTACATTTTCTATAGTGCTGTATCATGTCTATCATTCATTGGCTAGTAATATGCAATTGTTACACATTGTATGTTACGTCGTAGTTATATATTACCTTTTTTATCAATTTTACAAAATATAATAATGCTCATACTGTTTTATGTCAGCATTAAAAAGAAGTAATTTTATTCGAATACAACCTTTCTTTTGATACCTGTTTTTGTATCAACAAAGAATTACCAAGGTAACTTGATATTTGTTATATATTTGCTGGAAATCAATTTTAATTCACGGCCTTTTTAACGTAAACATACTCTTCGAATAAATGAAACTACAATTTCAATATTTCCTAACATTAATTTAGTATACTGCTATATAAAATATAGACTAGGCGTATTGTGATTTATATTTCCCTAATTAAAATAACTACTTTGTCTTCCAATGTTAATAAATTAAGACGAAAGGATGGATGATATTTATTGAAAAGTCTCCACTCTCGTATTATCGCTGATGGAAATGTCATAATCTCTGACATAGTTAAACAAGGTATACTCAAGTCTCTGAAATAGTTAAACTAGGTATATTGCAATCTCTAAAATAGTTATACTAAGTATACTAAGAATACTAAAGTTTTTGATATAGTTATACTAGGTGTATTAAAGTTCTGACATAGTTATACAAATCATATTAAAGACCCTGATATACAAGGTATATTAAAGTCTCTTTCAAAGTTATACTAGATTTATTAAAGTCTCTGAACTAGTTGATTTAGCTATATTAAAGTCTCTGACATAGTTATACTAGGTATATTAAAGTATCTGACATAGTTATACTAGGTTTATTCAAGTCACTCAACTAAATATACTAGGTATATTAAAGTCTCTGACATAGTTATACAAGGTATATTAAAGTATCTGACAAAATTATTATATGTATATTCAAGTATCTGACATAGTTATACTAGGTTTATTCAAGTCACTCAACTAGTTATACTAGGTATATTACAGTTTCTGACATAGTTATACTAGGAATATTAAAGTCTCTGACAAAGTTATACTAGGTATATGAAAGTCTCTGACATAGTTATACTAGGTATATTAAAGACTCTGGCAAAGTTATAATAGGTATAAGAAAGTATTAAGTTTATTAAGAACTCTGACATAACTATACTAGATATCTTAAAGTTTCTAACATAGTTATACTAGGTATATACTATTTATTTTAAAGACTCTGACATAGTTATACTAGGTATATAAAAGACTCTGTCTCTGACATAGTTATACTACGTATATTAAAGTATCTGACATAGTTATACTAGGTTTATTCAAGTCACTCAACTAGTTATACTAGGTATTTTAAAGACTCTGACATAGTTATACTAGGTATATTAAAGTCCCTGACATAGTTATACTATGTATATTAAAGTATCTGACATAGTTATACTAGGTTTATTCAAGTCACTCAACTAGTTATACTAGGAATATTAAAGTCTCTGACAAAGTTATACTAGGTATATGAAAGTCTCTGACATAGTTATACTAGGTATTTTAAAGTCTCTGACATAGTTATACTAGGTATATCAAAGACTCTGACATAGTTAAACTAGGTATTTAAAAGTCTCTGACATAGCTATACTAGGTATTTTAAAGACTCTGACATAGTTATACTACGTATATTAAAGACTCTTACATAGTAATACTAGGTTTATTAAAGCCTCTGTACTAGGTATATCTAAGTATCTGTAATTTTTATACTAGGTATATTAAATACTCTGACATAGTTATACTAAGTATATTAAAGTTAAAGTTTCTGACATAGTTATACTAGGTTTATTAAAGACTCTGACATTGTTATACTAGGCAAATATAAATCTCTGACATAGTTATACTAGATATATTTAGCGTTACCATACACGAAACTTACACTTAATAATCATTATGATAGAGTATGTTCATGGACGTTTAGTAATAGAAAGAGCACCGAAACACGAGGTTATCTGATTTGTACGAGGGGGCGTAGCCCCCCCGAGTATTAATCAGATTACCGAGTGTTTTGGTGTTCTTTCTCTTTTGTATCATAGTCAAACATAAAAAAAAACGTTCCCTGTTGTTACAATATGAAACCCCGGCAAAAATGAACCAATGAACGAGCATCTAAATATGACATTTCTGTCGATTTCACTTTCACTGCCGTCACAATATGTAAACCCCAGGAAAAATGAGCCAATCAATGGGCATGCTCTGGAGTGCGGGTAACTAATACCCGCACTCCAGTTAACGCACTGTGCATGTATATGTATACTAATTAACCCTGACACATTTTCAACAGAAAGGTCTCCAAACTATGATACAATGATTAAAGCCACACGTCTTTGAGTAGAATTTAATTTAGAATTTATTTCATCACTTCCGAGTCAGGCAAACACCACTATTGTCTAGAATGCTAGCTGTTTGAAAGTTTTATATATTTATATATATAATTTAACTAAAGGTCAAGTTTATGTATGTGACTGCCTGGTCAATTTATGAATAAGACAAGATCTAGTTATTATTATATATCTAATATCTACATACCCTTTCACTGTCATCGTTATATAAATTGGTTTGTTGTTTAGTTGTCGCTCCTTTAACCAGCAACATAATGTAGGGATCATAAAATTTCCTGTCTGGAATTGAATTGGTATTGATAGTAATGACTGATATGTCTGTCAATGTAATTAAGCCAAGTGTAGGAATAAATAAGCAGTGGCGGAGAACTTATAAAAGATCGTTAAGAAAACAGATATCTTAAACAATGTACATGTGATATGACTTTTGTCAATGTAGAGGAAAGAAATGTCTTCATATATATAATAATGTATACATTTTGGTTTACTAGAAAAAACGTAAATACTCTAGAAAGGAAAATATTAACACCAAATATATGAATAAGATCGTTAATAGTGCAATGTTGTTATATAATGATGATTAATGATGATTTGTAAAGCTTTTACTTGAGCCTGATAGGCTATATATG